CCTTCTGGGTTTCGGAACTGCAAGAGCCACTTTAGCGCTGCATGATCTGTCCTTATCAGGAACTTGCGGCCGTAAAGGTACTTATGGAAATGTTCGCATGCCTTTACCACACCCAGGAGCTCTCGCCTAGTCACACAATAATTCCTCTCGGGTTTCGACAGTACTTTGCTGAAATAGGCAATGACTCTTTCCTGTCCGTCTTGCAATTGAGAGAGAACAGCTCCAATGGCGGTGTTACTGGCATCGGTATCTAGCACAAACTTTCCTTCATTTCTGGGGTAGCCAAGGATAGGTGCGCTAGTAAGAGCCTGCCGGAGATGTTCGAAAGCTCTTTGACAGTCTTCACTCCATTCGTACTCATTGCCTTCTTCTGTCAACTTTATTAATGGTTTGGCAATGTTGGCAAATCCTTTCACGAATCGTCTATAATAGGTGCACAAACCGAGGAAACTTCGAATCTCGTGCTTGTTCTCAGGAATCGGCCACTCTTGAATCGCTATAATCTTCTCTGGGTCAGCTGTAACACCATCACGAGATACGATGTGCCCCAAATATTTAACTTCTTTTTGGAACATAAAGCATTTCTTGGGACTTAGTTTTAAATTGGCCTCTCGTAATCGTCCAAACACCTCTCTCAGGTTCTTTAGGTGTTCTTCAAAAGTTTTTCCTACGACAATTACATCATCCAAATATACCAGACATGTCTGCCACGTTAGTCCCCTTAGAACTGCTTCCATAAGTCTCTCAAACGTCGCGGGGGCATTACACAATCCGAAAGGCATTACTGTGAATTGCCAAAGTCCAGAGCCTATAGAAAACGCGGTCTTCTCTCGGTCTGTCGATTCCATCCCCACTTGCCAATAACCACTCTTTAGGTCGAGTGTGGAAAACCATTGGGCTCCAGATAGAGTGTCCAAGGTGTCGTCTATTCTTGGCAGTGGATAGCTATCTTTCTTGGTGACCGAATTTAATAGACGGTAGTCAACGCAAAATCTTGTGGAGCCATCCTTCTTCTTTACAAGCACTATCGGTGATGACCAAGGACTATTCGATGGCTCGATGACACCTTGTTTTCTCATGTCTCTAATAATCTCTTCCGCTTCGTCTCGTTTAGCCAATGGGAGTCGCCTTGGCTGTTGTCTAATCGGTTGGGAATTGCCAGTATTTATTTTATCAGAAATATCAGCAATTAGCACCTGGTGATTGATGGTGGTCTTTCCGATGGTGACAGACATTTGTATTTCTCCGTGCGTTTTTATTCTTTCACCAGTTGCTGTTTTTAACTGCACGGTCGAAGGTGAGATCCGAGAATGATTCTTCAATAACTCTGGTCTTGCAATAGTTCTTGTTGCACCTGTGTCTACTAGCAAGGATCTGTCTTCTCCATTAACTCGGCCGTCGATGTACAGACTCAGAACTTTTCCAGACGACGTAATGTTTACAGTGAAGATCGGGGCTTTGTTTCTGCAGGTCGACGATAGCCCCTTCCTGTCGACCTTTCTTAGTTTTCCGACTGCTGTAATGGTTTTTTGGCAGTTGCGGCGAACGTGTCCAATCTCGCCGCAATTCCAACATCGTGGTTCACGTTTCTTTGCCAGTGACTGTATTGCTTTATTGACCTTTTCTTCCACTACTTTACTGACCTTTTCTTCCACTACTTTACTGACCTTTTCTTCAAAACTTTCAGAGCCACCTTCCTCTTCGATGGTTCTTACCCGGCTCTCACTGCGAGGTTCCACCATACGTACTCGCGCACTTCCATGACTAGCTTTCTTGGCGGCTTCGAATTCTAACGCATGGGCCAAAGCTTTCTCAATTTTGTCGTGCCTAGCCAGTCTCAAAGCCTGCTGGGCATCTCCATCACGAACGCCATCGATAAATGTTTGTACAGCCAGTTGATCAAGAAAGCTCTCCGGTGCCGTAGGGTATGCCAATCGAATCAGTCTAGCGATGTCCGCTTCAAGTTCCTGCAAACTTTCTCCAGATTTCTGTATTCGGTTCTTGACTTGGGCATAGTAAACTTGCTGAAGGTGTTTATCGCCATATCGCATTTCGAGTCGCGCTACTATTTGTTGGAAGTTCTGTTGATCCTCGGGGATAGTCCGCAACACATCCAGAGCATCTCCTCTCAGAGCAAGAATCAGGGCTGTAGTTTTGTCTTGAAGAGTCCATTTATTTGCCGCAGCCGCTGCTTCAAACTGTCGAACGTACGTGGTCCAAGGAATCTTACCATCAAAAGTAGGTGGCTTTACTCGGGCTTGCTGAACGTCGCCTTCTACTCTTCTATTTGTTTCTGGGTCGACCTTCTTGTAATGAGTAGACTGTGGCACCTCAAGAAGACGGTCCATCAGTAATTCATCTGGGGCACTACTAGTACGCTCTTCCGTAGTCAGTCGCAAGAATTGCTCGCGCAGCTCTTCATACTTGTGCTCAATCTCAACGAATGTTGCTTTAAATGTTTTGGAAACTTCCGTAATTCTATCTTCAACTTTTTCTTCGATAATCTTTCTAGAATTTTCTTCCAACTTCTCGAACTTCTCTTGAATATTTCTAGAATTTTCTTCATTAATCCTTCTAGAATTTTCTTCCAACTTCTCGAACCTCTCTTGAATATTTCTAGAATTTTCTTCCAACTTCTCTTGGTTGCTTTTCATTTCTTGTTGCAACACCTGTTGGCCATTTTGGATTTGCTGGAGCAAATTGAGCATCGTTTCTTCCATTTTAGCGGCAGCAGATCTTGTTACAGGCATACACAAGCACAAGCACTTAATTTAATCTTACTTTTAATTAATTTAATTAACCCCACACCTGACACCAATGTAACGTTATTTATATAAATTCGGGTTCGATTTATATCAATATTTATTAATCAAAACTACAACACTATAAAAACCGTACAATTTATATCGATTATTATATCACACACACTTCGCAATTTATATTTCCGTGCTCGATGTTTCGTCCGTACTCGTTCGATAGTAGACTAACTCGATGTTCGGTCCGCAACCATTTATACACGCAAGCAATGTAAGTCCAGTACATTCTCGAATGTTCCTACAACTTCCACTATCGCGCGCGTAGAAAATTCCAGAGAATTCTGGAGCATTTCCGTTACAGTATTACCATTGAATTTAGTTATAAATTCAATGGTATTACATGCATAATTATTGATATATAAAATTATTCTGTAAGGATGTGTGTGACTGAACTCCTCCTAAACGGCTGGACGGCTTTTGATGAAATTTCTTTATGTCTTTCTGTATGGCCCCGTATGTGCATTCTGGCACTTTAGCTCTAATGTCTTGCTTGTCCATGTACAAGTACACCTTCTTGAACACATAGCTCCTGGTGTTGAAAATTCATGTGTTCATGGAGTGGTTCATTTGGATCCTGAAGAAGTGATTCTACTAATCGCTTGCGTTCCCTAGCTTGTCCTAACTTTTCCTTCCCTATACTCTGTTTTTTAAATTGGGAAACGGACAACAGCTAAGGACGAGAATCGCGATTAAATTTGACAGTTAAATCATGTCAATAGCAATTTTACCTTAATTTTAATTGGCGCGAGCCAATAGAAACTAACATTTTTTGCGGGAACTTTTAAATCAGTCTTCCTAGTTAAAAAACAGAGTATAGATGTATACATATATCTAACTTCCAATGCAGTGCCAATGGTAAAAAGTGCAAACTGCAAATACGCGGAGGATTGAACTTGTCTTTCCTGTATACCATTTGTTGATCCATTCTAGTCTTAATGAAGCACAAGTTTCGGGGGCACACACACGGCACAGTCCCAGTTTAATTTATACTTATAGGTAACCAATAATTCAATACCTTGAAAGAAGATTAACACATTAATAAGAAATGCAACATATGAGGGGGACCGACAAGAAATCCAAATTCCAACTTTTTAGGGACAAATTATCCAAATAATTTGAATTGTTTTCTTTAAGATATCCAATTTTTATCGACAAATTATCCAAATCCAAATAAAGCGACAAAATATCCAACCAATTTGGAAACTCCGATTTGGATATCTTGTCGGTGGGGCGCCAAGATATCCAAATATCGAATTTTTTTTAGACAAGAAATCCAAATTTTTTGGACCAAATATCCAAAAAGTTCGGAAATTTTTTGACAAGATATCCAATTTTCAAATAGATAAAGGTACGCCGCTTTTTCGTGTATTTGATCATTACCTATATGTTTTTAACAGCAGTTGTTTTCAGCGTGAGAGCTTTATGTGTTTGTCAAAGTGCTGAGCTTTAAAAGTACTTATTAATTATAATTTTAATCAGGCATGACCCTTGTGTGGTACGAAAAATTCTGTATCAGCATTTCAGTTTCAGTGTTAAAACACGGCATAGCAATTCTTTTCAATGTCTGTTCGAGATTATGAATTTTCAACTTCATTTTTCGGTATTATGTTTATCATCACCCAATGTATGAAAACATACTAAATGCTATGGCGTGCTTTAACACTGAGACTTAAATGTTTCGTACTGCACAAGGTTCATACGTGATTTTAGGGCTTGAATAAAATTTGGATTTCTTGTCTAAAAAAGTTTGGGTATCTTGTGACATGAAACAAATAAAATTTAAATAAAAGCAAAACTAACATCATGTTTAAGATTTGGTTTTGCACATGCTATAGCCATACCCCGGAGCTCGTTTTCTATATTTGTTTAGTTTATTTTCAAAGATATCGACAAATAATTTTAACAAAAGCTTGGTAAATTTTTCTCAACTTTCTGACCTAATAGTTTATGTTAGTTATGGCCCATAAAATATTGTTTTTCAATGAAGTCGGATATTGCATCCATAACATGAACGGATTTTGTTTGAGGTTAAAAGTAGACCTAGGGGAAAACCTATGTCTACTTCTTAATAAATATCATTGTATACTTTTTCCAACAGGTAAAAATAACTTGATTTATTAATTTTTAGGTTAATTAATATTAATTTGATTTATAATTTGTCAAATGGAGAAAAAACTACAATTCTGTTGTATAACTAAAATTTATTTACATATCTTATGTACATTTTATAAAATACAAAACTACGACAAAGAAACCAAACTATATTATTTATCCTTATCTGCAACGTACTGTAAAACTGGATCACTTAAAGATAAATTATGAACAATATCTAGCAATGCGGTCACGTCATTATACGATAATATTTTATTTGGTGCTCCAATTAATTTAACAACAGATTTACCAAACGTTATAACGTATCCTGTAAAGAATCGGGAGAACTTAACACATCTTTCGTTGACCTCTTTGTTTGTGAATGTAACTTCCGTAATCGTCTGTGAACGTGAAACCACAATTCGAATTTTCCAATTCGCAGCTGGCAGCTTTACCGACTTTAAGGTCCGCACTAATTTATTAAAGTCAACATTGCTTCCTTTCGTTTTAGTTCTATTCGGCACACCCTCACTTTCAACAAGATAGTATCTCGAAACCGTCTCTTTTTTCTTCTGAGAATCTACCGCAACAGTTTTCTTCGCGTTCTTCTTTTCTGGTAATCCCAATTTGAATGACACCCGCGCGACTTGCTTGAGTTCTTCTAAGAAGGCGTTCTTTTTGACACTCTTTTTGTCAGAGTATGTTTTCACAGACGGTTGATTCGGCTGCTTCTTGTGAATGCCAGTTTTGGATTGTACAGATTCCGAAGTCTCCTTTCTAGAAGGAGGAGTTTTGGAAGGCGACGACATGAAATTAGTTGCAATTATTATCGGAACCGAATTTGTATTAACCAGTTGCGGGATTATAACAGGGGTCACTGTGTGAGGTGCAAGAATTATTGGAGTGTTAGCCGCTAATTGAGTTGGAGGCATGAGTGATGTGTCGAAATTATTTGATTTCGATGTAACAATCTTCTTAGGTTGGACCGGTTTAACGTTTTTAGTAACTGTCTTTGTGTTTCTTTCTTTGGGTATCAGTGGGGGTGTTTGTGGGGATTCTTGTGCTGAAACGTGATCGGTCAAACCCTCATCTGTATCGGTTGCCGATTCAAAATCATAAATCACTTTCGGCGGGTCAATGACTGGCAGAAATGATCGTACAACATCGTCATCTGTAGGTTCTGTAAAGTTAAGATTCATCAGCTCTAACGGATCTTGCTCGGGAATAAGTGGAGCCGCCTTAAAGACTTTCGTTTTCGATTTAACTGTCGGCGAATCCGGTGCTTCCTGCGTTAGTTTATCTTGATTACCAGAATTTATTCGCGAAGGAGATGATGTAATGAAATCGTGAAACTTCGGATTCGGTCTTCTTACTCTCGAACCGGAAAGCAAAATTTGTCGTTTGTCTCCGTTGAAATGATGTCTACTTCTAAACCGTTGCATTGAATTCATTCCCATTTTAAATTTTCTTGAACCTTCTATCATACGGATTCTTTTTCCATTCGTCTCCATTTGATAATTCCATTTTCGTTTTGGTGGTCTCTGATTGGCCAAAAGACCTGAAAATTATAACTAATTTAATATTCTTATGACAGTTGTAAATAGAAAAGCAATTATGTTTGTCTCATTTAGGTGTGATTATATTGCACATGTAGGGCTTTTTATAAAGTAAATTTTTGTCGAGGCGGCAGAAGTAGGTAGCTTTCGGTTCACGAATCTAGATAACTTAGTCTTTTATTTTTTTCTTTTTAATTAGTATTGCGTGTTCATTAATTGCTTTTGTTTGATTTGCGGTCGATTTATTAGGCATTTGAAATTACAAATTTGAATTGGCAGGGCTTTTGTCTAAAATTACGCAATAATTGTAAATGTGTTAGTAGACAAGCAAGGGTTGTACTTAAGGGTAACTTTGTTTACGCGCAATACATAGCGTAATGTGAGCATCTCGTAACTACAGGATTGATTTTACCACTTGTTAGTCATTAGAGGTTAATGATTATTATGCAGGGTGCAGGACAATTTAGAGAATCTTGAAGATTCAGATTGTGTACGTAGTTACATAGATACGTCTATGTGTGGTTAGATAGGGTGGAATTTTTCCACTGGTTATGTACCACTTGTATATTTTAACTCTCAGGAAGATTCAATTACGATTTTTGTTATCGGCTTGTGATATGGGTGGGTTTTTTTTTTGTTTTATATAGGGGCATAAAATATTTGTTAAAAGTCAAGCTAAAATAAAAAGAGAAAACCCTCAGGCCTTCTTAGTATGGTTGCCACTAATGCAATTTCAGAACTGAGAGAGCATGTGAATGAGAATCATGCTGTCTGATTGAGTAGGACCTCCCGAACAGTGCCAAGACCTGAAAATATCGAACGTGTGCGCATTGTCTTGAACACAAGTCCGCGACGATCTTAGAAAATATGTGACCAGCTTAAAATTAAACAAACGATCAGTACAACGAATCCTTCATGAAGACCTACACTTCTATACCTACAAGAATGACTCAACTATTGTTGACCACCAATCACGCCACTAGATTAACCTTTTGTGAACGCGTACTGGATGTACAGTGATGGCGAGTTTTCGTTAGACAAAGTTTTGTTTAGAGACGAGGCTCATTTTTGCCCTACATGGGGATATGAATACACAAAACATGCAGTACTTGAGTGACGAGAACCCGCGCATTATTCACTCAACGAATCTGACGGTGGTTTCGTTTCGCGTTGTTGGTCTTTTCTTCATTAATGGAACTGTTAATGGCGATCGCTGTGGAAAAAGCATACAATGTTGTCTAGCTGGTTTCAGCAAGACGGAGCGACATGCCACACCGCCACTGAACCATGGAAACATTTTCAAGAGCGGATCATCTCGCGCATCTGTGATTTAGCCTGACCGCCGCGCTCTACCGACTTATCTTACACCTTTATATGAGTTTATCTCAAGTCAAAGGTGTATGTGAATAAACCACGGACCTTGGAGAAACTTGAGGCCAATATTGAAGTGGAAAATTTCCCATGATATAATGAAAAATGTTTAAAAAACCAATCCAGAATTTTGTGAAAAACAAGGGTGGTCGTTTATGCGATGTAATTTTTAAACAACGTGATTTGGTTTTAACTTTTTAAAATAAATAAAATGTGATTGAATTCTGCATCTTTTCGTTTAAAAATTATTACTCCACGACCATTGGATGAAATTGAAATACGATAGGTTCCCGTGTCGCACCCTTAGACTTAGACGATACAGTACATGGACTGCTAATTGCAACTCATGTACGGTCAAGGACGTCGCCTGAGTATGTGAGTTTCAGGGTCAAACGAGTCTGTGCGAAGTTGTCCGATGAGACACGATTTGAGACTGCCAACCTTTAAATTAACAAACGTTAATTTATTAATCGCCTTGGATATGCCAAAAAAGCCAATCTATTCTTATTTGTGGGTGTATAGAAGATGATGGCGCGTATTTAAAGCTTCCCATACGATGCGTTAGCTTAGAAGTTGCTCTTTACGCGATCCGATTGGTATTGAAAGCATGGTGCTAATAGCAGTTCATGTACTGTATAGTCTAAGGTCGCACCCCGTATATATTTAAAATGAACGGTTTTTGTAAAAAGACAACCAAAATGAAAATCTGCGCAGCTATGGTTTTCAAAAAACTAAAAAAAAATTTGGAAGTGCGGAATATCACATAGGAAAGGTTGGCTCTGTGCAATACAACTACATATCGAGGGGTTTTTGACAACATATCTCAAGCAACAAATTTATCGAAAATCGGATTTCTAGTGCAAACAGTTGCTTACAATGATTGGACTTTATTGAAACGAATGTTTCCCTTTATTTTATTGTAATTAAAATTTCAGTTTTGAAGATAAGTATACACTGATGTGTCCAAGATAAGGACCTTGGAAACCATAGGAAATACGAAAATGGCCAAATTAGGGAAAAGTTGCGGAATTAACCATTCATTACCTACCAGAAACCAAAAAATTCCAATTACTTCCGAAGATATAAATAAACAACACTTTCTCATTGCCACCTTTTGAGCTCTATGAGACACTGTAGAGATTTTCAATACAACGTTTCGTTATGGAGAAATCATTACCTATATTTTTTGCCCGTAAAAAATGTACATACTGTATTGAGCAGCATTTTTATTACGAATACAACGATATATGTCACCCACAAAAAAAGTTAGGAACTGTTAGTTTCAACAGGATGGTGCACTCGCACACAACCCCTTAATCGTGCGAAAATACCTTTCTCCATCTTCAGAGCAGTTGCTATAGGGCCTAGAAGGTTGAAAGGTAAAGGTTCACCTCGTGACATTATAAGCTTTCCTTTGATACCTATATTATATGACCCATGCAGCAAATGAATAACACACCCTAGGATAAAGACAAATCGAGGGGCTGACCACTGCGCAAAATTGTGTACACCACATTTGCCATTTTCCACATTTGCTCAACATTTGCTACATTTGCCAGACATTTGCTACATTCACTATAAATTTTCCAGAAATTTTCTAGATTTGCTCATCATTGAGGTACTACATACATTTACGAGTAAATATATGTACAAGATTTGCGCGGGTCATTTGGTAATTGAAATATGATATCACTTAAGTGATAAACAACAATTGAATATTTTCTAGAAGACTCATAGAGGTTAAAATGTGGTCAAAAAAGTGGAAATATGATGCTGATGCATATTTTTATATACCTATGTGGTCTATGGTATATTTCGAGGTATATTTATTAAAGTATGAAAGACAACATTTTTTTAAATGCCTGTAAAAAGCCTTTTAACTACCCCATTCAGAATCTAGACACCTCCTGGGCTACACATGTTGCTTGTAGTAACTGCAAAAGACCAAAAGAAGGTAACGATTTTTTGCAAAAAAAAATACATACAGGGTGGCACTTTGAAAACTTACCACCCCCCATATCTTAGTAAATAAACGAGATATTTAAAAAATCAAAATCCGTTTCGGTAATTCGGGGGCGAATCACAATGACATAGTTGGCGACGCACCCTTTCCAACCCCCTGCGCCCCAGCCACCCCAACTTTTAAATCTTAAATAGTGACCCCCCATGTGTGATACGTCGTTGGAAAGCTCTGAAAAAATGCTTTCCAACCATAATAGCATTACATTTAGGTTAGTAATTATCGTGTAAATCAAAAAATAAACTAGTATGATACATTTGAAATCTGTAGTAATTAAAACACAACCGGCGAACATAGACGAACTACGACAGACAATAATTCAAGAATGTCAAAATATTGCAAAACCAACATTTAAAAAGGTTCGTTTGAGAATAGATTATAACTGGCGGTCAAAAATGAGTTGCTGTCGAGTCGGCTTTGGAAGTTCAAGTTAAATAACATTTTCCAAGTAAACAAAATTTGAAAGGGCGACTCGACAGCAACTCATTTTTGATCGCATAGTAATACGGTCTTACCAATAACGGAAACCATTTTGAACATTTTTTGAAATGAAAGCCAACTTTAGAAAATGTATCTTATTAGTTTATTTTTTGATTTGCACGATAATTACTAATCTAATTGAATGCTATTTGGTATGGTTGGAAAGCATTTTTTCAGAGCTTTCCAACGACGTATCATACATGGGGGGTCACTATTTAAGATTTAAAAGTTGGGGTAGCTGGGGCGCAGGGGGTGTGCGTCGCCAAGTATGTCATTGTGATTCCCCCTCCGAATTACCGAAACGGATTTTGATTTTTTAAAATATCTGGTTTGTCTACTAAGATATGGGGGGGTGGTAAGTTTTCAAATTGTCACCCTGTATGATTATTTTTATTATTATTTATTATATGAGGACGTACTCAGAAAAATGAGTAGAACGTTGTTATCAAGATATTATGAACTTTGAACAACATTATCATGATAAATACAACGAAAGTGTGATGGGGGACTATATTTTGTTTTTGGGTTTAGTGAGAGAAAGTACTTATGAACACGGAAAAAAGAGTAATAGGATTCACTACTAAATTTTTTTTACTTACTATTTTAAATTTGATATGATAGTAAAAGTTGATAAAGGTTTCATAAAATTACATTTGTTTCGATTTATCGATAAATAAAAATTTCAATTCTGGATTTTCTAAAATACTGGTCAACGGCTCTCCTGGATACAAAAGCAAACTTTTTCAGGCCTTATATATTTATTTTTGTCTAACTATCAACAAATGTATCAAAATTTCATATTCTCTTATCAAAGTCAAAAATCGTGTTATCCTGTGTAATCAATGGGTAGGTACATCAACACATTGTATGAGTTACAACTTCAGAATCATCTTATTAATGATCATATAAACAGAAAACCGATGTACCTCCCATATGACTCCATAGTAAAACCAGCCTACGACTGGAGGGTAGGCAATAAGCATACGAGGGCAGATTTGGTACACGCGCTTCCTATACAGGGTCATTCTTAACGACTGTCAGTTAGAAAGATATGGAGAACCTTTGAAAATGATACTAAACTGATAAGGGTTTTGGCACATGATGAATTGAACTAAAATATTTTTAAGATGGCGCCATTTCCGCAAATACCGGAAGTAGCCATCAACTTTGTTATTTCCCTATTTTTTCTACATTTTCGGATTCGAGTTGACCCTTTACTCCAAGGGCTTCGTCGATAAATTGATTAATTAAGAAATGTTGTGATTAGTTACCTTAAGATTACCGCTTTTTACACTTTTGAAGAGTTTCTACTTACTGATGTAATGGTGTTCTAATATTCTGTGATATTTTGTCTATTTTACTGTATTTTAACTTAACCTCATATTATTTTATTTATACGTGTAAATTGCTCTATTAGTAGATCCACTAGTAACTAGTTTATAGTATGTTTGACGACACTAATATAGTTTATACTATGATAGCTAAAATATTTAAAGAATAAAGATATTCAAGTTTTTATGTCAAAAAAGGAATTTGCAGGGGTAATTTTAAAAATCTATTAATTTTTTTTAATCAATTTGCTACAAGAAGTGACTAAAACATGGAATATCTCGGAAACCGTTTGAAACAGCCTCTGACATTTTGTATCAAATTAAAGGTCCTGGAAAAAGGAAAACAACAGTGAAGAAAAAAAATGTGAGAGGGAGGGGGGCATTAATCTTAAGGTAACTGATCACAGCATTTCTTAATTAATCGACGAAGCCCTTGGAGTAAAGGACCAACTCGTTGTACTCCAAATTTGACGTAGAATCCGAAAATGTAGAAAAAATAGGGGGTCCCTATTTAAAATAACAAAATTGATTGCTACTTCCGGTATTTGCGGAAGTGGCGCTATCTTGAAAATATTTTAGTTCAATTCATCATGTGCCAAAACCCTTAAAGGATTTATCAGTTTAGTGTCATTTTCAAGGGTTCTCCATATCTTTCTAACTAACGCTCGTCAAGAATGACCCTGTATAAAACAGTCGGAGTGCCGCCACCGTTATGAATCCACCTTGCTCATGGTGTATAATAGAACACCATGACCTTGCTTGGCCACATTATTTATGACTGCACTACATGAACGAATGTTAAAACACTTTCTTTGCATAATTTTCAGGAAATGAAAGCGCCTGGTATACATTTATCTTTATATTTACAAATCATTGATACTCGCATTGATATGTCATATTTAATTAAACATTTACTACATTTCTTAAACATTTGCCACATTCCCTGAACATTCGCTACATTTCTTCAATATTTGATAAATTTCCTCATCATTTACTACATTTGGCCAACATTTGCTCATCATTTCCTCGGGACTGTACATCACATTTGCCCAGTGGTCAACCCACGAACTTATAAATTAAGATGGACTGCTAATGCTGAATTAACAAATGACACCTACATGGGGGCCGCCATGATGTGCACTCACTTAGCGCGAAATTCAAATCAACTAATAAACAAGCATTAATCTCACGTTGTCTAAATAAATTACTGTGACACATGTCATTTTCCAAGGCTGCAATAGTCTCAAAACTTGAGCACTAGGAAAATTCCCCTAGAAAATAACTAAAATGTGCACATCATGGCGGCGCCCATGCTAGGGCCATTTCTACCGCTATGCAACTGTTTGATCAGCAGTTCATCTTAATTTATAAGTTCGTGGGTCAGCCCCTCGAGACAAATGTACAGACTGAAAATGGCATATTTTTCAATTTTTTTTTAAATGAGCTGAAAAAGAATATACACTGCTGCTGAAGTCGAACCTAGGAACGCAAGAATTTCAAAAGCGATTTTTTAAATTCCTTGGTAGGCACCTTGGTGGGCACTTTTAACAATGTAGAATGTGCATAAATAAATAAGTCGTGAAAGTGTTTTTGAATTTAATTAAATCCCTTGGCACATGCTTTTGACAAAACTGTCAGGGAATATATCTTTGTTTTATGGCTTCCTACTTTTAGCTTTCTTTAAAGGTGGCCTGGGATATTATGGAAGGTACAACGCTGCTGCCCAGAGCGCCGCGCCCCACTGCCCTTCCCTCCCTAAGCTACGCCACTGGAGCCATTGTATAGTACTCTTATGGAGCACCCTATCTCCATTTTACAGCACTCTAATGGAGTACCCTGTATATCTCATTTCAAGGTTATAAACCATTGTTAATAGATTTTTCTCCACCATTTAGAAACAATCGACCAATTACAGACTTCCTGGTATAATGGCATATCAATTATATGGCAACCCTCTGCACTAAGTATTGCCTGTATGAATCTGTTCTTATAATTTACTACTTAATTGGTTATAAGTTTAATCCAGAGTAACTTCACTAGGACTTCGAAAATATTGAAGATCGCGGAGAATTGCCATAAAAAAAGTGAACCTCTCTATATGATGTAAACGTAATCGTTCCAGTTATTTGCATTAAAGTACGCCAAGATATATGTCAACAATGGTTACACAACATCAAGGGGTGAATTTGTACACCAACAAAACCAAAAAAATTTGCCAAGAAAAATTAGCACATTACGTGAACAGTGAAGTAGTTTTTTTAGCATTTTAATTGGGTTTAAAACACTGTTATGATGTTTACACCTTTTCGTCGTCATTAATTGGAAATTTATCTTGACGATCTCGTTTTTCTGGTAAAATTTACCTGAAACTCTGATTGTAGCACCGTAACATAAAAGTAATAATTCTTTTTATCAGGGGGTAAAGTGATATCATTTATTATCATATAATTAGCATTCACACACCAACCGAACTCCGTTAAACAAGCAAACTTGCTATGCACTTTCAATTTTTCGTTTACTTACCTTACCTAGGAAACATTTATCACAATTTAGTGAACTAACAAATTCAAAAATACCATTATCGCAGACATAACCTTAACCTTGCATACCTTCATTCATACATCAATAGTAACACTACAGATTTTAAACGGTGAAACTTTGACCAAGTAAGGTATGCTAACTGTTACGATATTTACCGCTAAAATCGAGACGTTCAAGTTTTACTCTAGCGACCATGTTATTAATCGCCGCCTCCAAGCATGTAGTACCTTGTGCTGCGTATTTACGAAACAGTATAGTTTTAGGAGTGCTACCGGTCGATTGACGTCTAGAACGATCCACCTTTGCCGCGGCACCTTTGGAGGTATTCATCTTGCAATTTTGACTAAACAGTCGCGATTAAGAGAAAGTTCCCGAAGAGCTAAAAACAGAAACATTTGACCGCCAGAAACAGAGATCTTTAAACTCACCTCCATCACAACTGCATTTACTTTATTAGGTAATGTAAGCGACTACGAACGGCGGACGCTCTAAATTAAAAGTAACCTCTTTTTTTCTCTGAATACCAATAGTTTATCGTCCTTGAAAATTTGTATAAAATAAAAATGTTAGAAACCAAACATTGCCGTGACGAAAATTTGCCAGTATTTTAGACCATTTGTTTGTGGCGTTCTTCTTTAGGGAAATTCAATATTTACCAATCGACGCGCCTTAAACTAAAATTTGGGGGTTATGTCAAAAAAAGCGCGATTAATAAAAAGTAATCGATAACGATATGTGATATTTACACGAAAAATGCAATATAATTTGTATTACAGTTTTAATTAGAGAAGTTACATAGATTTCCGTAATTTACTCTCGATTCCCGTAGCTGCTTTTTCATTTGTGAACTTGGTACGATCTGTTCTATTCTATGGTGTCTGGTCATGATACAAAAGTTGGTTAGTTCTGCAATTATGTCTATGGTTCTGCAACGATATTCATTTGACTGAAGTTATTCCAATGATAGCGGAAGCAGCAATATACAGTGTGGTCTATTAAGCGCGCAACAAATGGGATTGTTATTATATTTTTATTCGTTACTCAGTTGTAAACGTTGATTAACAAGACAAAATGCAAACGAGTAAACGTCATGTTTAAACGCTACTGACTTGTAAAACTGACAGCTGACCTGTAAAAAAGTTACAAGTTAGTAATCTAGTAATTTCATAATTCACATTACCGCCATTAGTCGTAGAGCGTTTGGCAATTTAAAGTTAATTTTTAACCATCGGCAGTCTTTAAGCTATCATCTAAAGGTGCTATTGTGCGAGTCCTTAGTTTTATCTAATTTTAATTACTGCGACTCTGTGTATGGTCCTTAATTGCCTTGACAGGAGTGATACTGACAGAATACAAAAAATTCAAAATTCGTGCCTAGGTTTAATTTTTGGTGTAAAAAAATATGAACGCATATCTCACAAGATAAAAGAAGTCGGCTGGCTAAATATGGGAAACAGGAGATACCTGCACTCTGCCACTCTATTTCATAGTATTATTACCAATTGTATGCCTAGGTATCTGTACGAGAAGATTCAATTTAGCTCTAACATTAGATTACATCAACTAATTACTCCACCTCTCCATCGAATCAAGTTTTTCGAACGATCGTATGTTTATAACGTTGCAAAAATATACAATCTTCTGCCTACTGATGTTAAAATGCTTGGGATGGTTTCATTTAAAACTAAATTATTTAAAATTACACTGGATAGACAAAACATGAGTCTTTAATTCATTTTTTTTTTATATTAATGTCATCCTCTTTGATATAAATTGTACGATATTACATCTCCTGTTTGATTTCTTTTTGTACACATCCATCATTTATATCTGATTTCCTTATATTGATTTTTGGTTCATTTAGCGTAAGACATAATGTTTTTATTTTTTATTTAAATTTTATTTTTTGTTTATTCATCCACCTACTATAACTATAATTTTCCACTATCGTTATCTTTAAGTAATGTAATCTAAAGGAAAAAGTAAAAGAAAAAGAAAAAGGTAAAGTGGAAGAGCAGATGCGCGGTTTCTTTGTACCAAAGCATCTGAACTTCGCCTCATTAGATTAACGAGTAAACTTGTTAATTACATGGTTATAATAATACCTAAATGCCACTCTACTATACCATTCTAATAAAGACACATTATTATTATTATTATTTTTTTTTTTGATTTTCTCGGTCTTGCCGGTTCTAATCCTAGTCAAACGGACTATTGTCAAGTCTGGCTAGTTACTTCTGAGGAAAGTTCTGGTGATGCTGCAGGTTTTGAGTATGACTGCCTTCTGAATGTGATGATGAGTGTATGTATCTATTATTATTATTATGTATGTATTATTATTGTCGGTGTTTCTTGTGAGAACTCAGGTCTAGCCTGGTTAACTAATCGCACGGATTAAAATCAAGTAACGATTAGTGTCTGGTGTCTGTGTCTGGTGAAGTTATGTAGGGTTATTGGAAATCTAGGGATAGTATGTAATTCATACTTACCAACATAGCTATTAATAGCCACAATTATAGTCAACGCTATCAGGAAAGAAGAAAACAAAACAGTAATATCATTATAATAATTCCTGTACTTTTATTAAATAGAGTTTATTGTGTAAGTGTTTCTTTGGCTTTGCGTTTGGGTTGTATACGAGTGGGTTGTGATAATGTGGTGTGTTTCTGTGAAGAAGGAGTTTTGTGTTTTTTAACTGTGCTAGGACGTGTAACTTTATTGGGTGGACCTGTCTTTGTAGTGCATGTTGCGTTACTTGTATTTATGGTGTTTCTTTGTTCTAGAGGTTGTATTTGTGTTGTTGCTTGGATTATTTTTGGAGACATTACGGTATTTTGTGAGCCTCTAGTGCTGTTATTATTATTATTATTATTTCATTGGCCAGAATTAATGCGAAGAAATGAGTAACAAATAAAATATTGTACATTATACGCCAGGTTGCGACAACTCTCTAATACTATTAGTCTATTACACGAACGAAAGGGCGTCATTATCGTTATATCAGGGTGAAAAAGTTTCCAGTTTTCTCTTGTATTTTACGTGGTCTCTCTTATGTTCTGGGATAATTGTTTCAAATTTGATACATCAATTATTTTGTAGAATGTCTACAATAAAGTATGAAAATAGTTGGTCGCGGTGTTGCTTTTTCTTTGTCACTCTGTACAACGAAAACGACTCCTTTTAGACCATGCATATAATTACATTTTTTTCTTATTTTGATGAGTACTATCGCCCCCTGAAATATACGCATGACATTAATTAACAGCCTGTATAAAGGTTCCATATTTAAAACATTTTCGTACTTCCGAGACTAAAGTGACAAGTTCACTCCATTATGACAAGTACTGAAGTGTCACTTTTTGTCCCGCCGGGATTAAATTTGGACGAAAATCCCGGAAGGATGAAATTACTAACAAGGCAATTTCAGTAGGTTGTTCCACATTTTGTATGCGGCACTACTTCTTAAACGCATCGTACTGCTGCTCATATAGTTTTTTGGATTTCGGTGGTATCAATTCATTACCTAGTTTGGCTGCTTTTTATCAATATCAAATACACCTTTGTCACCCACCACCAAAATTATGACACTAGGAATGACAGTTAAGCAAATTATTTTTGTTACCATAGCATAGCGTTGGTACGACAAACCCTATGCTATGGTAACAAAAAATTTGCAAGCGCAACGTTCCTATGGTAACTTTAAGCAGCGATTTTTTGAAAGAACGCGTTCTCTAACTCCATACATATTAAGTGTTTCAGTTTCGGAAGTACGAGAAATATCGTATATACCTTGCGACTGAAGTAGTGGTCTTAATCCCTCAGGTAAATTATGGCCTTTCCCTGCGGTCGGGCCATAAACTTTACCTTCGGGATTAAAAGTACTACTTCAGTCCCGCGGTATATAATATACTATTTTTTCTTATTTTGATAAGTACTATCGCCCCCTGAAATATACGCATGACATTAATTAACAGCCTGTATAAAGGTTCCATATTTAAAACATTTCTTACTAGCAGCTCACAAACTTCGTACCGCCTATCAGCGTTGAGTGAACAACGCTATCAGTCAATGTCCCGCTAATTCCAATTCAGATTTGTAGCTTTAAAACGGTGTTCTCGCATTTTTTGAAAAGCAAAGTTGTACAAAAATGCTACAGAGTTTTCCGAAGGGATAACGCGTTTGCTACTTACCTACAAACATGCCTTCCGTGTACGGATTTTTACGTCATCGGTCCGTCAGTCATTAAACCTGAGTAATTTTTTCGCCCTTTCCTGTTTGCGACGTAAACGGGGGGTTACACCGCTTACGCCTAAAACCGGCCCTGCGAAGACTACATACCACTTAGACCATATAGTACATGGACTGCTATTAGCCCTATGCTTTCAATACAAAATGGGTGGCCACGGAGAGAGGGCACCGTAGTCGTGGGTATGTGAATCTCAGGTAAAATCTAGTCGTGTAAACACCACTCGGATCGCGTAAAGAGTAGCTTTTATAGTAACCACGTAGTACGGGAAGCTTTAAATACTCTTGATTATCTTCTATAAGTCCGCAAATAAGAATAGGTTTGCTTTTTTGGCATATCTAAGCGATTAATTAATTGACGTTTGTTAATTTATAGGTTGACAGTCTCAAATCGTGTCTAATCGGACAACTTCGGAGAGACTCGTTTACCCTGAAACTCGCATACCCAGGCGATGTCCTTGACCATATTTTAGTTACAATTAGTAGAGCTCATTTAGAGAGCCTTACAATTAGTAGTCTATGTACTATATGGTCTAAGACATACCATCATAGAGTAAAGGCGGAAACACATTACTGTGACGTCACGTGAGCTCACTTGCTATCACCTAAAGCATACCTTGCGTGCGATGTCACGCTAGGAGACACACTTGTGTGCGCTCACGGTGTCGACGCGCGGTAGCTGTCGTTGCAATTTAAGATTTGCATTTAGTCATTAGTAGCGATGAAGCGAAGTAGAGATTCTTATTCGTCAAGTTCTTCAGACGGGGAAGAGGATATAGAAAACGTGGCTGCTTTTACAGTGGCTAATGGAATACAGCGCAGTGTTTGGATTCACCACATAAATCATCGAATTTCGACAATTAGTCCACGAATTATTGAATGGACATCCAAGCCGCCTGCAAATGTATTTCAGAATGACCAAAGAAGAATTTTACTTTTTGCATGAATTGATTAATAATAATAATAATAATAATAATATATATTTGCCCAACAGATACATAAAAGATCCAATTAGAGGACAAATGGAAAAAGTTAAACTTATAATAATTCGAGAAAGTAGAACAGTAACAATGAAAGTAACAAACAAACAAACAAACAAAAAGAAATAACGCGCATGAAAAGTAATTCAAAGTAAGACTAACTCTATGGTAATACATAATAAGTTACATGAATAAACAATTCAAAAACTGATTCTTTGACAAATGTAAGATGTCATACCTATTCGAATACATATTACAGTTGTTACATACATTATAGAGCGGAAACTTCTTAAGTAAGTTTGACTTCGAAAAAGGTAGATAGAAGGTGTCATTACCCCGATAACCATAACGGGGGACGAAAAAATTGAGGTACTGAAGCAGCTCAGGGGAGTCGATTGTATCATGTACTAAGTTATAGAGAAACGACATTCCCATTTTAATTCTTCTTTGCTCTAGTGAAGTAATATCAGTGGCTAATATAGTAACTCGTTGTGATCACAATGCGCTGTAGGGTATGAGCCATGCGAAGTTTATAATAAATATATTTGCAGAT